GGGGGGGGGGGGGGGGGGGGGGGGGCATGCAGCCTCACTGGTTGGCACGTCGTTTTACAACTGACATCCCCAATTTCTAATACAGCAGTGCCGTCGCACCCTTTCTGTGTACGCCTGTCTTGTACGCCTGTCTGAGCTTAGACAGATAGACCTGACGTTCCTAGCTACTACTGTTCCCGTTTTTGACCTTCTGGTACTGCTCCGTCGCCAAAGACTCCTCGGTCGGCAGGAACGCCGCCGCCCCCGCCGCCGCCGCCGCCACCGCCGCCGGCAGTGGTGCCGGGGAGGGGCCGGAGTCCTCGCTAGACCTGTCGCTCAGGTGGGAGGGAGTCGTGCTCAAGGACGTGGAGCTTAGGAGGGACTTCCTTTCCGAGCTCCTCGGGCTGCCGGTGGACGTGCCGCACGCGTTCGTGAGAAGGGCGGTGCTGCACCTACCGTGGTACACGCTCCTGCTGGGGTGAGTTTTATTGCAACGGCGGCGGTGACTATGCGCGCGTGTGCTCTAGATATTTGAGTGGCACGTATGTATGACAGATCCGGGGTGTCGTGGTTGGCTGATCCGTGTGGGCGTTGTGGTTGCTCCGGTTTAAACGGTGGACGAGGCGTGGGGAATGGTTGCTTTTTTTTGCTTGTCGTTTGGTTTGTGTCGGGGCAAGTTGTAACGGTATCGTGGGGGCAATGTCCCGCGTGCCCGCCGGCTGCTTGTTCCTATTGAGCATCCCCCGCGTTAAGAAAATAAGTGTTTTTTGTTTGACTTCCCCTCCGTCCCCACACCCGTCCTAGTTAAGAGGGCTGCAAGGGTCCATGTTCATTCCGATATAACTCCGTCGCTGCTTCTGCGGTATTCTCTACATGACACCCTACCTCCGTCTCATTGCCTCATCCCCGTATGTTCGCCTGGACCCGAAAGCTCCTTCGTGGCGAAGCTCGAGGGGGTCACGATCGTCATGCGCGGAGACGCAGCCACGGCCACGGCCAACGCTTCCGGAGCAGCAGCAGCAGCAGCAGCAGCAGCGGTGGCGGCAGGAGAAACGACCGGAGACAGCAACAACGCCCCCCCCGTCGAGGGCGGCGAGCAGCAGCACTACCATCAGCAGCGAGCTTCTGGTTCCTCGGCGGCGGCGCCTCCGCACGCCGACGGCGGGGGTGGGGGCCAGGCCGGCAGCCCGAGCGGGGGTGGGCGGGAGAGGAACTCTAGGTGTGTGCGCACGGGACTGTCAAGAAGACGGTGACTGCTGTATGGTATGCTGCTCGGGGAACCGTAGAACCACAGGCAGGGCCTCCGCTTACGGTAGGTCCTCCGCTAACGGTATGGATTTATTGCTAATTTTATCGTGGACTCTTTTTCTCTACGGCATGATAGCTTTGCACTCCCCGCGCGACATGATGCCCTGAACCTCCCATGCTCTCTCTCGAACGCTCGTTTGTCAGGCCGAAAGCCGGCAGGCAGCGGCCGATGCCGCGTTGGCTGAAGTGGGTCCTGCGGCGGCTCAAGGTTAAGCTCGCGGACGTTACCCTCCGCTACGAGTCTGTCGGGATGTGCCCGCTGCAGGTACGGCTGTAGCGGTTCGATTAATGGAAAAACGTGTCCTCCTGTGAGGTTGACATCGTGGACTGCGATCGGCGTTTAGCTACGAAAGAAGAGAAGTATGCAGAACAGGACAGTGCTGTGTGCGTCGTTCCTCGTCTATTCTGGTGCCGGTCTTTGCGCTTTGCGGTGTATTCTTTGTTACGTTATTAGCCCCCGGGGTCGCATGAGCACGATGGAGGGGGGACTAGGTGAGGAGAGCTCCAGAGGGAATGGGAAGACGGGCAGATCCAGGCGGAGAGATGAGGGTGGGGCATGGGGGTAGGGGGTCTCATCATAACTATCTGCGTGCCCCCTGATAATATTGGTGGCGAAAGGGTGGCAGCGAGGCCACGCTCGCAAATGTATCTCGCATCACCATTGGCCGGGAAAAATCAAATCTACTGTTGATTTGCTTGCTGTTTGTCTTGGCTGAGGCAGACTCTCTCCCATCTCCTGTCGATATATGTACACCGACGGGGACAGGCTATCCCTTGTCTTACGTGTAAGCCAACAAGAACTGAGCCGTAACATGCCTTCTTTTTTTTTAGCGGCTGGACAGGTCTCCGTTGTCTACGTACACATTTTATCCAACAAGAGATGAGCGTATTTTTTATGGCTTTTGTATTTTTGCGCGGATCGACGCGGCGTGTGGTGACAAATGACGAACCGTAACGTAACGGTAACAGGGTGCGGCTCCGGCCGCTGTGGAGGTCACCCTAGGCAGCCTAGAGGTGCAGCCGGTCTCCCTGCAGGGAGCCTCGGCTTGGTTCAAGCGGCAGGTCCAAGCAGAGCACAAGAGCCTCCAGTACCGGGAGGTGAGGACCGATTGCTATGCATGTGTGTTGTCTTGTCTCGCCCGCAGGGTTATTTGAGTATAACTTTTTTTGTGTTAGGTTTACCTGCGACCACGGGAATCGACCGCGTCAAGTGTAAGATCGATACGGACAGGAGGAGGTAGTGGATGGAGAGATCGAAGCGGTTTTTAGTGTGTGCAGACAACAACAACAACAACAACTACAACAGCAACAGGGGTGAGTGTGTCGAGGACGGCGCTCTCTATGTGGGGGTTTGTGTTGTAGATTGGCTGGCACGGGGGGTGGTGCAGTTTAAGGGGACCCTTGCGAAGTATTGCATACCATACGTCGTGCTTCGGTTTTTGTGTACTGTATTTGATTGTCACGATGTTCTCTGGTTCCGGCCAGACATTTTGTGGGACCCCCCTCTTTTACCTATTTTCTTCTCTCCTGGGGACGAACTCGTCGATCGACGGCATGCATCGGCGTGCTACAAGTATTTCTCCAGCCGCTGTGTTACGAGCGATGAGCGAGCGCCCGGTGCTAATTTTTTTTCTGAGGGACCAGAGACGCTTGAGAAACGCAAACGTGACTGACGACCCCCCCTTTTTCTCTCCCGCGGCTCCCCCCCCTCCCTCTCTCCACTCCCCCACCCCCGAAAAGGAACTCCTCTTGCGTGGCCTTGCCGTGAGCGTCGAGCCTCTCGTCGACCCCCCCCCGGCGGCCCTGCCCCCGCTCCCCCTGCCGCCACCGGCCGCCAGCATCAACGCCTTC